GCAACTTAAATTGCAGTATTTTTAGATTTTAAGGGAGCTGTATTAGCGTGTTTCTGGTTTTTTTTTAGAATTAACATACTTGAGACTAGCAGTAAACACATAGCTTATTATATTCTGCACTTAAAAATGTAATTCAAGAAGTCCTTTATAGTTACAGTAGCTTCGGATACGCTATCTACAAATTACGTTAGTCAAAAGTTTGGTAGCAGTGGATAAACAGAGGCGATTCGCAGTGACAGGCTCAAAATGAACCGGAAGGGGTTTATCATTATCAACAGCATCTAGGCATGGATGGGCTGGATAATTATTACACGCTTAAAGCAAAGGGCTAGTTGGATGAACACAGTTGAAGTGGTAGTATCCAAGAGGGGTGAAACTGGTTGTATATATTCAATGTACCTCGTATTTCACTTTGATGTTTTGTTTATCCTTCCCATAAAAATTCTGCAGCCATCGGTGCAAGTAGCCTGTTTAGCGAATTTAGCAATTGCCAGATTTCAATAATCACTGTTAAAGAAAGGGGCCAACTTCCTTGTCATGTCAAAAATGCCGCTTGAGACAACACAGGACAATTTGGAAAGACGCTACCTGCCGGGTTTCTTTTGCATTTTCGACATCGATGCCACTTTTACAGGGATTGGATTGGAATCAACCACACACCGACACCGATAGTGTCTTGGATGGCATCGAAACACTGCATTATATTTTAGCGGCAGATGTTTTCTATGACATTACAGTTTTCAAGCCAATCGTGCAAACCATCGCTTTGCTACTTCGGAGATTCCAGAAAGCCATTTGTATTTTTGCTTACGAGGAAAGGGAGTAAGCTTTAATTTCTTTCTGCGCCCATTTGATCGGCCCAGAACATCGGACTTAGCAGCTCAGCCGATTGACAGAGGCACTGACAAGGACAAGGGCCTTTTTTCTAAGAATGAAGAGCTCCATCGGAATTAACTTGCGAAGTCAACACCCGTTTTTTTAAAATTCTGAAATGTAACGTTTTGCAGTAGCAACTGGTCCATTGAAGATTTGCTTTTGTTGAACGAGTTGTGCTGCCGGCGGATTCGGGTCGTCAACACAGATCTGCATACAATTCATATTGGAATCATTGGTAATAAAGCAGGTGGACAGTTTTGTGACTGTTTTTTCAAAATACTTTTTCTCGAGCTTGCTTAAGTGTGATCTAAAAATTGATCAGGCTCTTTTCATCATTTACTCAGTACCCATAAACACTGCAGCAGAAGTTGCATATAACAATAGCATGAATTGGCCATTTTTACGAGTGTTTTTCCCGCGAGGATTTACAAATATCCTTTTAATGTTTCACAACGAATATCTAAAAATTTGTCTTATTATTCTTTCATATTCCGAAAAAAGTTAATAATTGTCACCAAGGTTAACGAGTTTTCTGAAATATTTTAACTCATTCTTCTCGTCACAGTGCTAACTTTACAGTCTCAGAACGAAGCGCAGGCATCTATTGCACGTATACTTTAATGCGCAGGTGGGCAACCGGTGGGCCGGATCCGGTCTGCGACTGGTTTTTAATCCGGCCCAGGGAGGCAATCGGAGTGTGGTGCCGAACTAAACGAAGGGAAGTTTGTACTCCGCCACACCACTGCATTCTCATGAAAATAGATAAATAGTGGCGCGCACCAAGGCAACCCTTTTCCCCTGCATGCAAAAAACGACATTGGGACTAGTAGGGTAACTGTGTTACAGTGCATTAAAAATTGGGAAAATTTAAGGTTTTTTCAGTGTCTTAAAAAAAAATTGGAAAAAAAACACAGGCACAAAAAAAAGCACAGGCACATGAGGAAAAAAAAAGCACAGGCACATGCAGAGCAATAAACATTCATACTGTTAACGATCTGATTGCGTCAAGTTTAACGCAAAAACGCATGATCCCAGGGGTGAGCCTGTGCTTTTGCTACC